TTGGAGGACCACTGAAGAGAAAAGGTCTCCAAAGCAGCCAGACTGAGAACTATGAGATAGCTTGGGGGAGGGTGAGCCACAAGGAGAATGGAGTCTTAGGAGGGGGAAGGCAGGAGGTGGAGCAGTACAGAGGAGGTGGAGAGACTTGGTCATGGGCAGAAGGACAGCTCAGTGATAGCAGAGCCAGGAGGTGTGTGGACTTGGTTGAGCATCAAGGCTGAGTTCCGAGTGGACTAGAGTGCTTGCAACCCACAGGTTCCTCTGAAAGCTTTCAGTGGGCGTTTGCTCCTGTCCTTGCCCTTTGGGATGGAACTCCTCAGCAAGGCTGCAGGATCCTATTTCCCAGCTGTCCTGATGTGTGTTGGAGCCTTATGGGGACTTAGGGCAAGCTATAAACAAGCCAGCTTCCTCCTGAGCTTCCTGTACAAGGCTGTGGCACTTGGTAGGTGTTCACTTGAGAGCAAATGTATCCCTTAGTCTTGGAGGTCACCTGCAGGTGATTGGCAGAAGTCCCTTTCACTCTGCTTTCTGATACCAAGCTCTGGATAGGTCTGTTCACATCTAGGGCCTTCCCAGAGAGCCCCATGGCTAAAACACTGCTAGGGAGGCTCACAGCTCTTTAGTGCACCAATAGGTCTGTCTGGAGGCTGCTCAAAAAGGCCTCTCAGCACTGTGTTAGCAGACCTCTGATCTCTCTTATATTCCAGATCCCTAAGAAATCCAGGTGAAAGTTTATAAGGACACAGTAATTCCAAATGTCTCCCCTGGTAATTTTGGGTGGTTGCCAGACACTTGTAAGTAGCTTTCTGATTTGAGAGGCTGATGGACTTTCTAAGAGAATGTGGTTAGTGCTACTTCAGTGTTCATCCAGCCGCCCCATGGTAATACTTCCTGCTCTTGGTTGGGCTGTTGGAGTAAAGCTTGCTTTAGCTTTGAGCTACAGCCTATAGCTATCACTGTTTGTCTAAGGCTGACTGACTGTCCTCCCAGGCAAGGAGTTTCTTGGCTCTGGCCAATCACTGCAAGGAGCAGTTCTGATTTCCCTATTCAGTATGGGTTGGTAGAACCCTGGGAGTGCCAGTTCCCGTGGAGGTGGGTTAGGCGCCATATGCTCAGAGCCCACGAGAAGACTGTTCAAACATCTGAGCAGCAGCCCCCGCCATCCCAAACCCAGAATGTGCTTTGAGGGTTACAGGCATGTGCAGGTCCATGATTCAGGCACAGGCCTGGGTGACCAGCAAGACACCAGTACTTCTACTTCACCACAGGGAGTGTGAAGCTTGCCTACAGTCACATAGCTGGAAGGCAAATCTAGCTCTTCAGTAGGAAGGGTCTAGGAGTCTGCCCACCACTCCCACACTGGGTCCCACAGACCTTAGTGTGGTTTTTTGGTTTGGTTTTGTTTTGTTGTTGTTGTTTTTCGAGACAGGGATTCAATGTGTATCCCTGGCAGTCATGGAATTCATTCCATGGCAGGCTGGCCTTGAATTCACTGAGATCCTCCTGACTTTGCCTCTGCCTCTCAAGTGCTGGGATTAAAGGCATGCACCACTAACTGGCCATCCAGGGATGGTGTTCTTCACTGGCTGTCAGCAGGCTTGGCCTTGTCATTTCCAAGAGCTCTGAGTTGAAATTCTTAGTTCTGACTGAGTTCTCTGGTCACTGGTTCCTAAGAGCATCTCTGCACCCCCACCCTGCCCAAAAGTTGTTTGTTTAATCTTATTTATTTTTGTATTTATGGTATGGGTGTTTTTACCATATGTATATCTGTGTACCAAGTATGTGCTTTGCCCAAAGGAGCCAGAAGAGAGCACTGGGTCCACTAGGACTGGAGTTACAAATTGCCGTGAGCAGCCGTGAGGGTGCTAAGACTTGAACCAGAGTCCTTCAGAAGAGCAGCTAGTACTCCATCTCTCCAGCCATCTCTCCTTGTTTTATGTTTTCAATGCTGTCACCAAGCCACATCCCTCAATCTGATCCTGAAGGCTTTTTTTTTTTTTTACTTTCTTTTGTTTTTTGATTTAAAAAAAAATTTGTGTGTGTGTGGGGGGGGTGCGCTGGTGCCCGCCAAGGCCAGAATAGGATGTTAGATCCCTGGAACTGGAGTTCCAGGTGGTTGTGAGCTGCCTGATGTGGATGCTGGGAACTGAACTCAGGTCTTCTACAAGAGCAATTCACATCCTTAACTGCTGAGCTGTCTCTCCAAGCATCTTGTTATTTCTCTGGCCCTACTTGGTGCTTTGAGACTGAATGTATTGATCAGGAGCAGTGCTGGCTAACTTACCTCATTGTTTCCTACCACCCCAAAGTGGCCATTTATGTGGTCTTTGCAAAGAGGACTACTCAAGGTGTTTTTGCTGCTAGTCTCAGGATACATTCAGGTATATCCAAAGTTTCTTAGAAACCCAGAGGCCACTGAGTCACAGGCAACATGAGTTATCATCATGAGGAGCCATGCTGGACACTTGCAAGTGAGCAGACCCCTTTGTGATAGAATGTGGAAATGGAACTCAGAAAGTTCCATCCTACCCAGGGCCCAGACATTCTCTGGGCCCCTTGGCCTCTCTGGACTCCCATCAGGCCTAGGTTTGCCAAAGGCTTCTTCCTGTACACAAAACAGTATAGGGGGAAGGGAAGGGTAAGTCTCTACTCAGGTTATCTGCTGCCCACAAGCAGCCATTTCCTGATGTTTGGGGACAGGGGCTGCAGGACCCCCACTGTCTCCTGGTGACATGCAGATGCTTGCTTGCTGTTATGCATCTCTGCCACTGAGTTATGGTTCCCACTTTAGGTCACAGCCAGGAGCTCACAGCTATCAAATGATAGACTGTGTTGTCCCTGATAGTTGCAATGAAGCCAAGGCAACTTGGACAGCTCAGGACTCCATGAAAAGTAGATTGTTCTTGCACGGTCACTGCTCAAGGTATTGTGAGGGAGACTCACCCCTTTGTGGGAATAGTGTGCAGGGGTGGCTCATAAGATTAGGTATGACTAGAGTGGCCCTGCCCTACTACCTCTGCAGAAGCAGAGAGACTGTGTGGCCAGCAGACAAGCAGGAGAGCAAGTGGGGAAGGGTAGGGTGTGTCTGGGATTCCCCCAAAGCCTAACATGTCAGGCTCAGCCCTTCTTGGGAGTAAGTGGCTGTAGGTATTGGGTACCCTGGCATTTGTAATGGAGTGGGCCTTCTGTTGGTCTTCCTCTGAGGACAGTTTTCTCTCAGGTAGACCTGACCAGAGGGGAACCCGCCATAGTGTTGTGTCCACACAGACTGCTGTCTTGGTGGCTCAGGGGAAGCCCAGGGCTCCCTGAGTGCTCCTCGATGTGCTCCATCTTTCTGCCACTGTCTGTGCTTCTGCTTGTTGTCCTAGGTGGGGCTTAGGTGACTTTCATTCCAGGGCAGGCTGAGGGGTCTCCATTCTGTCTCCACGAGTGGGCCACAGAAACCTTCAGATCTTCTCCAGGCTGCCTCCTGGGTTTGTGTCATTGGAACGAGTTGTTGAGATATAAATACCAGGTTACATAAAGCCTTGGCTGTCTCCCTAAGTGTGCTTGGGAACATGTCTCCACACTCTCCAACACATCAGTACACCAGTGTGGTTAGCATCTAAGAAGCTCTCTGGAGTCCTCGTGGGCTCTGTTGAGGGCCTTGCAGAGGTTCCTGCATCCTCTTGCAGCCCAGGTGAGAGCATGGCTTTTGAACTTGCCTCTGCATTTGTGTCAATGCTATCAGGGTCGTGGTTGTCTCAGCTGCTCTGGTCCCTTCAGTAGATTAGTGGTGGTGAACAGGAAGGTACAGAGGCCTTGCCTGTGCAGCAACTGTGATGAGCAGGTCCATGTGTTGGCTGTGATGTTGCTCCTTCCCCATAGGGACCCCATGGCTCTGCCTATCTCTCCTAGCTCCATGCACAGCATGCCTTCCCCCTCAAGGAAGGGCTGTGTAGCCTCAGGGGCTTCTTTCTGAACAACCATCCTAAGCAGCTGATCCCTCTCCATTTTCTTGGTGCCAGACATTGAGTAGTGAGGCACTCGCTTTAGTGTCTGTCTGCTGGAGGCTGTGATGCCATGACACAGCAGATGAGAGTCTGAACACGGCAAGCACATAAAGGAAAGGGTGAACTGTGTGAGTCTTGCGATGTTTTGGAAGAAAAAATGAAGGGGGCCCAACAAGGAGTTTGTCTTAAAGTCATTTCCCCAGAAAGCTTCCCAGGGGAGTCGACTTAAGTGGAGAGCTTGAAGATCAGGGACAGGGCAAGAGACTTCTAGGCCCATTGGGAACATGGGGTGAAAAGGCTTCACAGATGGGCAAGCCACCAAAGTTGGGGTGACTGATTTTTGGAGAATGAGGGACACCAGAATAGATGGTAGGCTTAGGTAGGGATGGCGGGGAAAGGAGTCATGAATGGGATTGAGCTGCTGAATGGGTAGAGTAGAAGGGCACAGGGCAGAGGAGAGGGATGGCTACTCTGGCACTGGGGTGAACAGGTTCAGTCAGCATCCCCATGCCAGTCCCAGCAGTGCTGTGATGCAGATGAAGAAACTGCCCTGGTCAGAGTGACTATTCAAGGTCACAAGGCAGGCCAGTGGGAGACTTGAACGGGAACCCAAGCCCTGCTGGCTCCTAGCAATCACTGCGTCTTCTGCTTGCTGTCCCCGCACGAGGCCTGTCCTACAGGATAGACATTGTATTATATTTTGAGGGTTTCCCTGCAGTAACAATGTAAAACAGATTCAGCACTGGATTTCCTGTTCTTCTCTTCCAGTTTCACTGCTGACTGTTATGGGGAAAGGTGAAGGAGCATGTGATGCTCCTGCTTGCTGTCTGTTTCTTCATTGTCTCCCTTTGTCTGCCCTTGATCCCCATCCATAAATTGTGCCACTCTCCTGGGAAATCCATGTGGGGTTCCTCTCTCGATCCGCAGTGGCCATCCTAGCCTGAGAAGACAAGTAACTTCTCAGAATCACAACTAACACTCAGTGCCTGATGGCTGTCCTTTCTCCAGTACACAGTGCAGCTGTGAATGCCCTGTCTTTCCACCCGTCGGGAAACTACCTCATCACAGCCTCCAGCGACTCAACCCTGAAGATCCTGGACCTGATGGAGGGCCGGCTGCTCTACACGCTCCATGGGCACCAGGTGAGAGGTGTTGGCCTGGCCTGGGGCAGAAGCACAGCTTTGATGCAGGTGCACGACTAGGTTTCACCTGGGCTGGGGGATCATCTGAGGGGCTTCCCCTGGAGCCCACTTTGGTTCCATCTCAGCCTCGGTAATGCAGTGAGATGAGAGATAGGCTTGGCATGTACAGGAGCCGATAGAGGCCTTTTTTTTTTGTGACCTCAACTGATTGTTGGGGTTGAACTTGGTGTGCCTGAGAAGGGAGTAGGGAAATAAGATTGGGAAAGGTGTGGGCTGAATGGAATCAGACCTTAAAGGGCTTAGGCTCCTTGGTCTGGTGGCTGAGTAGCATCTTAGACCCTAGTCACCTTTGTCACTAGACCTCAGAGATAAAGACATGTTTTTCAGAGGTTGGGGCAAGAGAGGGAATCCGAATGTTTGTTCAGGGATTTCTGGCATTGAATCAAAGGAGCAGAAGCTTTCTGTCTGAGTGGCTTCAAAGAACCTTGGCCCTCTGAACTCTCTGGTGGATGGTGGCTAGTGTATGGCTCCTGTGGGCCATCCTCAGGACTCGGGCTGCATGCATTTCTCAGCAGCAGCTGGCTTGGGGCCAGGCCTCTCATGTATATCCCACCAGGAAGTTGTGATATAGCTGTTTCCTGCTAAACAGATCAGTCACCAAAGTGTCTTCATTGGAACGTAGTCACCATGTGTAAGTGAGGTAGAGTGTGGAGTCCAGAGATTTTCAGTGTGTCCCTTTCTTTGTTTGTGAGCCTCAGGAAGGCAGGACAAGGAGAAGGTCAGATCTTCAAGGCTGGGGGGGGGGCCTGGAGGAGCTTGTGTACTCTACAACAAGTATGGAGTATCTAGCTTAAGGCTCCCCAAACTGTTTTAGAATTCTGTTATTTCTGTTAGGGCACTTACTGCAGGTCTTTTGACCGCGGTCTAGAGGTGAGGACATAGCCTCTTCTTTCTTAGGACGTGAAAGCTACTTGTAGTCTCTCATCTAGTGGTGAGCCCTTGTCTTCCCATGTCAAGGAGCAGAATAATGAGTTTGTTTGTTTGTTTGTTTGTTTGTTTGTTTGTTTTTTAATCATGTTTCACCACAGCCAGGTGCAATGTTCAGTGTCCTAAGGTGTAGTGACTACAAGCCAATTGCTTAGATTCACATGTAACTAGTTTGGGTCTTGTAACCAGGAGGGCCTGTGAAAGCCACCTCTCCTGCTCACCATGGGCAAAACAAAGCATTTCTTAGAAACAACACGTAAGCAGGTGCGTACCAAATGACAGTCCAGATTCTCCCTCTCTGTGAGGTCCTTTGAACAGTGGGCTTCTCTCAGCCTGCAAACACTTCAGTGTGGATTGAAGATGTCATTCCCAGTGTTTTGGTGCATTATCCAGCACATAAAGGCAAACCTGTTGACATTGTTTTCCCTGCATCTGTCTGTCATCTGCTCCCTGATCACTGGGTCAGATAGGAGGGACACACAATGAAAGCCATGGTCCTACTTGTTGGTGCTCACAGCCTGGACTGTGGAGGACTATAGTTAAGGCAGAGGAGTTAAGAGACTAGGAAGGACAGGCTGAGTCTTATAAAGTACTCCAGGGTTGGGTAAGAGTGGGCAGACCCTGCCTGCCTCCCCCAGCTCAGAAGAGGGTGAGAGTCAGAATATGAGGCCCAGATGGTTTCCTCTACTCACCCCCTAGACTCCTATCCAGTACAGAAACAGGGTTGCTTACCAGATTTTACAAGTTTCTCTGGTTGAGCTCTCTGGTACCTAGCCCTCTTTTGGGGTACCACAGGCCCAGGTTATCCCTAGGCGTGGCTTTTTCAGAGTTGTGCAGGCTGAACAGAGAGCCAGGATCTGCTCAGACTTGTCTCCATGCCCATGTTTCCCATAACCCTTGCTCTTTCTAAAGTCACTTGTTCTATGTCTACCTCCTTCCTCTTCAAGACCCTTAGTGAGACTCCTGTACACTCACAGCTGCTGGTGGCTGCTCAGTGCTGTTCTCCACACTGGTTTCCTCACCCTCTGCAATATGGGGTGGCTGGTTTGAGCTTTCTTTTGGGTGCTTACTAAATATATAAAAGTGTTTCTGGAGCTGGAGAGATGGCTCTGTGGTTGAGAGTCCTGGTTCTTCCAGAGGTCTTGAGTTCAATTCCCAGCAACCACATGGTGGCTCACAACCATCTGTAATGAGATCTTGCACCCTCTTTGGTCATGCAGGGATACAAGCAAACAGAATACTATATGCATAATAAATACATCTTTTTAAAAAAGTTTCTGGTTTGAAAAGTTGAGTGTCATGGCTGGGGCAATGGAGTGAGTGTGGGGCAGGGCTGCCTGAGAAAGAGCCTTTTTTACCCAAGCCCAGTCCAGCTCGCCCGCCTGGCTCTGCCCTATTTGAAGGTTAAGTTCAGTGCCAGCTTCCCAAAGCAGAGGATGTCACAGGTGGAATAGGCTGGATAATCTGGATGGTTGGTTCAAACAAAGCCTGCCAGCTGAACTGAACTCTCTGTGCTTATGGAGAGCTGTGGCTAAGAGTGGAGTCTGATCCACTCCGTCCCTGGAGGCTGATCTGGACTGTCTGTGACTCGAGAGGAATTGTCAGCTGCTATAAGGCAGGTCTGGCTCAGCTCCAGGAAGTTCTCTGTCTTACTCTCTACCTGAATCCTTGAGAGAGGGTCTAGCTGGGAGCTACCATGGGGCCCCAGTCCCAAGTGCCACTCTGCCACAGGTAAGTAGTCTTTGGGGGCTCTCTGCTTGAGAAGTCCATTCCCTGCTTTGATCTTCCAGAGTGCAGGTGGGCTCTGGTGACTTGAGCTTTTCCATTCTGTTCCGGGAGGTGATGACATGATGGAGGATGAGGCACGACTGTTACCAGCCCCTCCCAGCTAGGGCTTGTAAGTGGTCCCTGGCTGCCCAGTGGTTCTGCCTTGTAGATAGGCAGGATGGCAGGTTTAAAAACACTTTTGAGAACAGGTGACACTGGGGGCCTTATGTACTTCTCAGGACAGCAGAGCTGATACAAGCGCTCACATCCACAGTTTCTGCTGTGCTCACTTGCCTGTCACACGTGGCTTTGATATTTGAGTTGTGGTTTCACCCTTGGTTCTGCATCACTGATCTGGATAAGATGCCAGCAGGCCTCATGGCTACTGTATCCCAACTTTATTGCAGTGTGACCCTGTTCTGGCCTAGTAGGAGCCCATGAAACTAGCTTGAACTTGGGAGGTCCAACTGGTGGCAGTCCCCAGGCACAATCCCTAGAGAGCTGTCACAAGGAAGTCCATTTTGGCAAGTGGCAATCTCCATACATGTGGGAAGAGGACGTGTGCGGGCCGAGGGTAGAGCCCTGGGAGGGTCAGCCTTAGAGTCATGTCAGGGTGCAGACCTTGACCAGGAGAGAGGGGCTGTACATGCAGGAGAACTGTGCTTCCATGTCCTGTCATGAGGGCAAGGCCTAAGCTAGCCCTTTTGGGGAGACTTAGGGGAGGGTCCCACATAGGAGGAAGAGGTGTCAGTTTAGGTGGCATTCATACTGGGTTGTGGCCACAGCTGCCTCAGTGTATCTTTCCATTGTCTCCTTGGGCACAAGGGCATTAGCGTGATGTAATTTGCCAACCACCAGGATGAGCTCAAGAATACCCAGTGTCTTAGTAAGGGTTTTGGTTGCTGTGAAGGGACACCATGGCCATGGCAGCTCTTATAAAGGAAACATTTGATTGTGGTGGCTGGCTTACAGTTCAGAGGGTCAGGCCATCATGGCGGGGAGCGTGGCAGCGTGCAGGCAGGCACGGTGCTACAGAAATATATCTTGCAGGCAACAGGAAGTTGACTGACTTGTCGCACTAGGAAGCTTGCCCCCACACTTCCAACAAAAGATGTGGCCCGGATTAAAGGTGTGTTCTCCAGACTCAAGGTCTGGATTAAAGTCTTGAGTCATCTAGCTTCCTCCAACAAGACCTCACTTCCTCCAACAAGGCCACACCTCCTAATAGTACCACTCCCTATGAGTTTATAGGGGCCAAATACATTCAAATTACCACACCTAGTAAGCCTTGGGTTTCTTGGGTTTGAACTATGGGGATGTAGAAGGCCCATATCAGCCAAGGAGTCTGATCATGTGGCAGTTTGGACATTGTCTGGTGTGCGATGGGCCAGACTTCCCAGCCGCCCACTTGAAGGGCATTCTATATATGTAGTCCCCCCCCCACCTCCGGTGAACATATATGAAATATATATGAACCAGCAAGGGGTTCAATATAGGGTGAAGGACCCCACTATGAGACTAAGGTCTCATTATGGGGTAAGGGCTTCACACTGTTGCCTCAAAACAACAGCTATGATTTTTAAAATGTCCCAAGTTGGGAAATTTATGAAGATCACAAGTTGTTTTCTCACGCTTTGGAGACGGGAGGTCCAAAATCAAGGTGCTGGCCTCTGTTGAGGGCTGTTGCTGTTCTCTGCTCTCAAGGCAGTGCCTCGAAGCCACAACCTCAGGGGAGGAATCCTGTGCAGTGTGTTCTCTCTCACCTGGCAGATAACAGGTAGGCAAAAAAACCAAAGTCCCTCTGTCCAAGCCCTTCCATGAGAGCATCGAATCCCATTTATAAACCAGGGCCCGATGACTGACTTCCTCTTAAAGACCACACTTTGGAACACTGTTGCTTTGGGGACTGCTGGGGTCTGGCCTGTATCAATCCCACACTACAGAGGCCATCTTTTCTGGACTGATGTCTTTGGGGCTGCTATCAGAACCGGCCAAATAGCTCCGGGTCCTACCCTGAGTTGGGGAGTATGAATGAGGAAAAGCCTAGCTACCCAATGGCATTAAGGACAAGACAGAGACATTTTGTCATCTCAGGAGGGCTCTCAGTCCATACTGGAGACCATGGTTTATTCAAGCATCCTCTTAAATAGTTCTCCAAAAGTGGAGGAATTGGTAGAAGACATCTATTATCATGTATAGAGCTGATATCAAATATTTCCTTTAATCCTCCAGATAGTCCCAGAACG